AAGAAAGAAAGAAAGAAAGAAAGAGACGTCTTTGTACGTCTTACATGCAACTCTTTGGAGAGTTGCAAGAGCAAATCTGATTTGTTACTCCTGTGTACAAACTTTTATAGTAAAGACGTATTCTTGTCTTTAATTTATTCAAATAAGGCATATCTTTGTTCATCCAACCAGGAGCTGTCTCAGACCCTCTTAAAAGTTAGAAACTCCCTGCAATTTGTTTTCAAGATCAAACATCAGTTGTCACCTTTATCTAAGCAAAGTGGAAGCAGAGCTTCTCCTCCACTGGCCTGAACTCATGCTGTTTTATGGCTTTATGGCTTTTCACAGATCAGTGTGAAAGCTGGAACTTCTCCTGATTGCTTGCCACACAGACAAAGGGCAGTTCAAAAGATCTTAGCAAACAATCTGCTGTAACTACAGGTAAAATAAAGGTCAATAGGGCAGAATAAGTTATTAATCTGAAAACTATAATTAGGCTATTTCAATCAAGATGTCAGGAACCAGGCAGTACAATATGCAGAACACAGGTGTTGAATTCAAAAAAGGTGGGTTTTTATTTACCCAAAAATATGAACAAAGGTTAACATAACAATTAAACAGGCATGCCAATAAAAGAGGTCAACATAAATTACTAGACTCAAGACATAACTGACAAAACAACAAACTGACCTAACTGAAATGACACAGAAGGGGATTTAAATACAGGTTTAGCTAAACCATGTGGACACAATAGGGGAAAACAAAATGGCTGCCACCTGACAACTAACACAAACAATGAAATAAACCCAAAAACATCCCCCCAGTATGACACAGGTGGTTCAGGCGTGGCAAAGGACAAAAGCCCTTTGCCACGCCTTTTGTCCACCAGGGAGGGGAGCCAAACACCCAGGCAACTCAAATAAAGAAAACAATATTAATACAACATAATTGAATTTCGACCTTGCATTGTTAATATGTGTGCACTCCATATAAACATTGCAAGGTGGAAGAAAATATAAAGAATACTTAAACTTACAAAACAAACTAAAGTGAAAAGTAACTATTGATGAGGTGTGGATCTTACCCCGTGTGGCTTGCCATCACACAAGACATGTTAAGTATTTAAACTAGCATACTTTAAATTTATTTTCTTAACACTTGTTAGTGACGGCTGTGTTGCACAAGAGAAGAAACATAAAAACATCTAAAACAATCTTTAGCTAACGTGTTTTTAGCATTGACTGTTGTAGAGTGTTAGTTCTGCACGGCAGTTAGCGGCTACAGGAAAGAAAATAGCCTTCATCTTCTTTAGCCCTTGCTAAAATTTGTCATTTATGATCTGCTTTGTGTTAGGATTGGTGTTGCTGAGGAACAGTAGCAATTATTAGCCATAATTAAAGTTTGTTGTCATCAGCAAACAATGAAGCCAGAAGGTAGAAGTCATGTTAGAATGCAATGCACAGACCATGAATTTAAAAAATAGTTTGTTTGCAAACTTGCATAATCTTTATTTTTGTCCTTCACCTTCTACCTAGTGGAGGTCTTAATTGTGCAGCATTAACATAGTTGTGCTCATGAGTACAAAAAGTAGCCCTTGCTGCAAGTTTTGTATCCCACTGTGAGGTGAAGACTGTTCATTTTTCTTTAAGTGTTTTTCAGAGTAAACGACGTAAAGCTCCGTACATCTTTTCACCTTCATCTGGGTGATCAGCGCTGGGTAGCCAATTTCCACAATACTGACTGTGTCATCATTCGCCTCATTGTTCTGGAGAGTCTGTGAAGCCTTCACATTTGTAACATCAGACTTATTGAGAGGGTTGCTGGTTGAATTGGAGATGGAGGAAATGTTCCCTGCTGCAGTGATATTGCTTCTTGTGGTTGTAGTTGTGTTAGTTGCAGAGGTTGTGGTTGAGGTTGTTGTTGTTGTGGTCAGTGGTTTGGTTTGCGACCTCTGGTTCTCTCCTGGCAGAAGGTCCGTCCTCTTCATGCAGGAGGTCATGAACCTGTCAAAGGTCTCAGGTGTCTGATTGAACTTGTAGTCCCTGCTGTAGTCGTCTCTGTCAGAGGATTTCATACCGTATCGCTTGTACATGTAGTAGTTGTAGTAATACTCCTGGTGGGGGTTGTGGAAGTGGAAATTGGGACGGGGGAACTTCCCTAGTCCGTAGCCCAGGGCCATTCCTGCCATCGCCCCTCCAGCCGCCGCCATTGCTGCACTGCGTCCAAACCCTTTGGATTGATCAGACGGAGCAAATCCCATTTTCTGAACCGAGGAAGAGAAGGGAGAACCACCCCCACCTCCGTAGCCACCAAATCCAAAGCTGCCGCCGTAGTGAGGGCTCAGGATCCTGTTGTTTGGGTTGTGGTTGATGTAGCTACCTGGATAATTTCCATAACCTCCTCCATACCCTGGAGCTGGGAAATGGCCGGCAGGATACTGTGGGTACTGAGGGTAGCTTCCATGGTAAGGAGAACCTCCATGTTGGTTTGGATACTGAGGATAACCTCTGGCTGGATACCCAGGGTAGCTACCTGGGTTGGAATAACCTCCATGTTGGTTTGGGTACTGAGGATAGCCTCCATGTTGGTTTGGGTACTGAGGATAGCCTCCATGTTGGTTTGGGTACTGAGGATAGCCTCCATGTTGGTTTGGGTACTGAGGATAGCCTCCATGTTGGTTTGGGTACTGAGGATAGCCTCCATGTTGGTTTGGGTTCTGAGGATAGCCTCTGGCTGGATATTGAGGTTGGCTACCTGGGTACTGAGGATAGCCTCCTTCTGGTTGCTTAGGGTAACTTCCTTTATTTGAAGTGGGGTTTTTGGCCTTTTCCAGGATTGAATGTTTAGTTTTGGCATCCAGATTAGTTTTTGTCTTTGTCGTCTTCTTAAAAGCCTTAAACAGTTTGATTTTGCCTGCCACTGAGAGATGAATGTGAGCTAAGAGAACAGACAGGCACAGGAAGGCTAAAAGCTTCATCTTTACTCTGCAAATGGTACAAGAAAAGAAATTAAATATACTGTTGTCTCCCCAATTAAAACCAACCAAACTTTTTGAGCTGTGGGCCAAAATCGTCAGCTCAGGAAAACAAAATTAAATTACCAAACCTGTTTTAATGTTTCTGTACCTAGTCAAAACATAAAATAAGCATGACCTATTTTAATTAACCAAATAATCTGATTATTTTTGTAGAAATGGGATTGTAGATCAAAAACTTAAAATGGTTTTTAAACATTTTATTTGTTAAAGGCATCCAGTTTGCTTATTGTTTTGAACTCAGTTGAAGAAAACTGAAAAAAAATCTTGTCATTTCTTAGCAATATAAACATGATTTAGATCAGTCTTCATTTAGAAACATTTAGAGTTCACCAATTAAAAGATTTAAGTGCAATAAGATGAGTGCTAGAGTATAAGTCAATGAGTAAATGTGGTCTTAGTTACCATAACAACGGAAGGAAACTGGAAAGCTTCAAAAGAAAATCACTTTGTTTTGCATCTAACATATTTATACGATTTTGATTTAAAAGTCGTAGCTTTATACTAATTTATTCTTGAATTGTGGTTAGGGGCCACAAAAAAAATCAGTCCCGGGCCAGAAATGGCCCCCGCACCCCACTTTGAACACCTTTATGTAAACTTTCTCACGTCTTTCTAACTCAATATTCTCATCAAGGACCAGGGTTTCCCCCAGAAAACTTGCTAAGCCTGGTGCTCAGGCGCTAGGGCAGTCAGTCATCCAGCCGCCCGCCATGTTTTTGAGGTAAAACATGCTTATAGTTGACAGGAAATTTTAAAATATCACTTGATAGTTATGCGTTATTGGAAGACTGGAAGGTTAATACCTAAACACCAACTATAAAGTAAAAAAAAAAAAAAGCCTCGTGGCCCGCCAGGCTTATAATACATTGAGGGGAACTATGAAGGACTGTTACCTACCATTATCATTAAATTACCTTGGCAAAATTTTGTTTCTTGTATTTTTTCTGCTGTTTAATTTTTAAAACTTGAATTTAACTTCCCTGTTTATTCAGCAAATTATCTTCTTTTTTTATTCAATTGAAGTTTAATTGAGCAAAAAGGCTTATGCACCTTTCTGGAGGTCACTCAGCTTTCTCTGAGCTCTTATATATTCCTCAATCCTTGTACAAATAAACTTTTCTTTATCAAACTTTATTATATTTTGAGGACTGATTAAACTGATGTGTTTGGTTAAAAATAGTTGGAAATAAATGAAAGGCATGCTCAGATTAAAGCCTCCACACGCATCAGCTCGGCCCACCTGTCACCACCATGAAGCCGTCAGGCTGAAAATAGCAACAGACCCACAACAGGCAGCAACTCTTCACTCCTGTTTGCAGTTTGTTGTTTTAAAAGCTCAAAACATTGAAGCACTTTAAACAACTAAGATAAATGTAAAACCCTGAAACGATCTCTACATTCTCTGATTACACAAATACTGTTTTGTTGTTGTAGTAAACTAAAATGAGAATTATCCACCTCAGAGAGTTAGCTTTGTCCTGTTGAAAACTTTGGTAACACTTTATTTGACGGGGTGTGCATAAGACTGACATGACACTGTCAAAAACATAACACCTGTTATAAACATGAAGGAGTCTTTATGAATGTCTATGACTTCTTTAAATGACACTTTTAATGCAAAGTTGCTCTAAAAGTTGCCTTGAAAGTCCATTAAAAGTAACAACTTTGCTTTAAAATGTAATTATTTACAAAATAATGCAAAGTTTTTCACTTTTAATGGACTTTCACGGCAACTTTTTAGGGAAACTTTACATTAAAAGTGTTATTTACCGAAAAACACTTCATGACAACAGTCATAAACACTCATGAACACCCCTACATGTTTATAACAGATGCTATGTCATGTCAGTCTTATGCACACCCCTTCAAATAAAGTGTTTCCAAAACTTTACCCTGATTATATCTTGTTTCTGTCAGTAATATCCATAAAAACAGAGATAAACATACTGACCTGAGCTCTCAGCACGGCCACAAACTGAAGAGTTTCCCGTCTATCCGCTGCTCTCCTTAAGTTTCAGCCCCTCCTGCCTCTGATGTGACCCGGTGTGAATAATTAACAGGCAGAAATCCGTCTTCCAGATTGGTCTTTTTGTTCGTCCTAAAGAGAATATGAAGTGATCTATAGTCCGGATAAAAACTTTAATCAGATGTTTCATCATAAAACAAACTTTAGGGCGATTTCATCCAAAGGCAAGGAGAAGAAATACTGTGTCTTTAAAAACCGTCCAAAAACAATCTAGTTATTTTTTTTACTGTTTAACATTAATACCTGCAAATGGTTTAGTAAATGCTGCTCCCTGCTGGTTATGGAAGAAAATAAAATAAAAATCCAGTTTATCCTAGGTTCTGCTGAATCAGTAGTTCACAAAGTTTTCATCCACAATATAAATAAAAACAGACCGGTAAATAAATAAATAAATAAATAAATATATATAAATAAAACAATTAAAAAGGTTTTTATCAGTAATGTAAATCTGTAAATTCAAAATGTGAAACCCTTAATTTCACATTTCAAGGTTTTATTCCTGTTATACTTACAGCTAATTATAACAGAAACCTTTCCTGTTCTGAAAAATTATAAATATTACATAAAACCAATTTCTGCTGTAGAAAATCCTCCACAAGGAAGGTGAGGAACAAAAGTTTACTGGGAAAGAATGCTGGTTCCTAGCACATTAACGGAAAGTTGAGTGGAAGGAAAACAGGTGGAAATTCATGACCAAGCTTCGAGTGCAGCAGACAATCTTATGAATGTTGACACTTCTGTAATAAAATTAATTTTGTTTGTCCTGTTCTAATTTTGAGAACAAATAAGGAAAATTAGTTGCAAATTTTGTACTTTTATTTTTGGTATTTTAATTTTGTGTTAACAGCAGATCATAAAATAAACAGCAACATGAGCCATTTTTTTTATCTACAGTAAAATTATGAATAATTTTTTTAGATGCATTTATTCTGATTCTATTCATTTATTTGTTTTTACATTAACTATTGAGTGAATGAAAACAAAAATAAAAACCAACTAGATGGTGAGAAGCTCCAATAAAGTTGAGTAAATGAATAAGCAAAGCATTGTAAAGGGTTGTATCATGTCTTTAATTTCATGGATTCTGTTTCGTCGTTGTTTTGGGAGATTGTGGTCAGATAATCTGGACCACAATTTAATTTCTGAGCCAACAGTTTCCAGACAGATGACGGCATGATGCAGAAAACAGAAATAAAACAAACCAACGAGGAGAAAAAGGCATCGAGAATGAGAAACGCTGCAGGTTTGGTTCAACATCAAACCTGGCCGAGTTGCTGCTTTAGCTTCATTTTCTCTCTACATCGTTAAACAACCTGTAGCTGCTCTTCTCATAATCCCACCTGAGTGGGAGATCCAGAGATTAAGTCACTGTTCAGAGGGGAAATGTTGGGTTTTAAATCTGGCAGCAGAGCGAACACACAGCAAAGCAGCTACGTATGTTAATGCTTTTTTCATGTTTTACAGAGTAAAATATCAAAACCAATTAATTTACACAGCAGGGATTAATATGGATTATCTAGGCCTGGGCGATCAATACGATTTATCAATTAATCAAATCTTTTTTTTTTCCACTAATGGGTTTCCATAGATCAGTGGCCCAAGGCGGCCATCTTGTTTCACAGCTTCTATTTATTTGAATTCAGATCAACTGTACGACAAAATAATAGGGCTAGGATTATTTTAAATTACGAGAATAAAGTCATAATTTTATAAGAACTCCAACACGAAAAATAAAATATTAAAATGAGGAACATTGAGCTTCTTGTGAAGTTTTACTTTAAGTTTTATAATCTTTTAAACATCAGCATAAGATCATCAGTGCAAACTAAAAAAATAAACCGTGCGAACCGAGGTGATCACATCAGATCTTAATAGAAATAAATGTTTTAAAGAGTTTTTCTGGTAAAAATGCGTCTTTATTTTGCTAATATTCTGACTTTATTCTCATAATTAAATATTCTTGTAGCCAGACCCTAAAGCGTCGGTGTGCAACTCAGAATGGAAGATTGAAGTAAAAGACACTTTTTGAAAATATTTTCTGCAGTTTCTTCTATATAAAAAGGGGGGGGAAAAAAACAGGATTACGATTAGAAGTGGTAAAAAGAAAAACCATCAGATTGTATTTATAAGCCCTACAGTCACCCTACGACCAAACAGCTTTAAGCCTTCGGCACAAAAACTGTTTCAATTTCTAGGATAAAAGAACAGACTGTGATTATTACGCATTAATGTCAGGATTAGTGCAGGACAGTGATGGGCGTCAAAATGAAAATAAAAAAATACTAATGACTGAAGGAGGGAAAATCCATCTGTACACAATAAATTTATCTCTTACTGCCATAATAAAACTCTATTCCCTCCAGCATAGAGATATGAACGACATATAGAATATTCTCTTTTTACGTTTAGGACAGGTCGTCATTGTAGTGTTCAAAACACAAAACATACAACAAATATGCAAAAAATATATTTATATTTATCTGCACGTGTTTGTACAGATTGTCCTTTCAGTGGTTTACGAATAAAGACTGAAACCAAACAGTCAAATATTCAGGAGTGAAACTCCAAGTCTTCATTTGCTGATTCACACATAAACTATGTTTCCCCCCAATGCAGAAACATCCGATTCCTGACATTCTGGGTGTAATTTAATAATTAATATGATCTTCATTTTGGACGATAAGAACAGAAAACTGAATGTGGGTTCAACAAAGTTTCTCTGGGGAGATTTTAAAACCATCAGCAAATAAAACCGACCTGATAGGAGACAAAGTGCTGGGCTTTGCATAGCAAACTGTACAGAGCTGCTGCTTCTGTGGTGCAGGAGGAAAATATACACAATATTTACAAATTTACACAGAGGAGGAACGAAAATGGGATTTCAGAGCTAAAGAACGACAGAGACGGGTCTGAACGGCTCGCCCAGATATGAGGTCAACGGCGGCGTTAGCAGGGGTCAAAAGGGCAAACACAGCGGCGAAGCAACAATCAGGGTCCAGATTGTCCCGGATGAGGGTCCAGACTGCCCCGGATCAGGGTCCAGACTGCCCCGGATCAGGGTCCAGACTGCCCCGGATCAGGGTCCAGACTGCCCCGGATCAGGGTCCAGACTGTCGAGTCCTCCAGCTTCATCACAACTGCTCGTCTTCACACGCCGTTGGCGCTCATCTTGCTCTTCTGGGACACTTCTGTCGCTGCTTTAGCCTGAAAAAATAAAGTTATTCAATAAAGTTTCAGACTTTCAGCCTCAGATCTGTCAGTTTGTTTCTGTTTGAGGCTGATTTCCAGAATCAATTAACAAGATAAAAAATATATATATGTACATTGAAAACCATCAGAAAGTTAAAGTGAGATGCCAAGGAAGTGAGTTAGAGTTGGGCCAGGCATTTAGAACATAATTATTAATCCCACAATGGATTAATAGCTAATTAATTAATAAACAGTAAATAAACGCCATCTAAAGGAGACATGATGGCGATATAAAACATACTCATTACATTTATAGCACCAATTCATTCTGAGAAAATCAGATTTTATTCTGGTCATTTCTGCCCACTTCAAGCTCCTCTCTGAATACAACCATACATCTTCGAAAAGCATTAGTAGAGCCTCCTGCACAACCAACAAGAATGCTACAAGTGGTTTCTGAGTGAAAAGCCAACAAAACATTTGTCTTCTTCAGCACATACAGCTTTAAAACCAGCTGACCAAACATGCTGGAGCTCAGTTTTGGTTGCTAGGTAACGTGCTGGGATTTGCTGGGGTTGCTAAGTAAAAGTGCAGTGCCTGCTGATTTGTAGAGTTACATTCTAGGCGTTTTTTGAAATGGTTAATTTTCCAGACACCAAAGAAGAAAAACTTGTTGCCAAAAACCAGCTATTTGTTTTTTGAAGCAGCTGAGACCCAAATGTAAATATAAAAACATGAAAAAACATGTCAATTTTGCTTAATTGGTCCCTTTAGTAAAGATATGCAACACTGGTCTGACCTGAAGAACTTCAGCAGGAGTTAACGGTTTGTCCAGAACCACGGGGGCTTTGTCCCGCAGCTCCTCCACCTGCAGCAAAACAGGAGAAAAATGTAAAGACGACGTCAACAAGGTCAAATTATTTCTATCAAATTCTTCTTCTTATGCAGGTCTGTACAGTTTTATTTTATATTTAATGGAGTTTTAAATCAATATTTGGTGTTTTTATGTTCCATGAACATAAATCTGAGGCCGACTTTGTGAAAATCACATCATAAATAAATCATCACAAAACAGGTTAAAAATGTTTTCTTTTAGTTACCAGTGAAGGAACTAAAACATGGACATGGAAAAGTCATATTGTAACAGTTTTGAAGATTTAACTTAGCTTACAGAAACATAAAAGTAGTTTTAGAAAAAAATGGGGGAAAAAAATTAAATACTTGTCATGGCAACAAGTTAAACTTGTGTGAAAGACGGTTAAATGTATCAGACTCAAATCAAATTTAAAAGCTTAGAGTTTTCTTTTTCTGGCTTACAAATTAAAATGAGATTTATCTAATAATTTGTTCCTGCATTAAAGTAAAATGGCCCATTTTTGGCTAAATGTTGAATTATTTTGAGGAATCTGGAAATAAATTCGCCTCAAACCAGAAAGATTTAATCAAGCTTTTTAATCAAACCGACTCTAGTTAGAAAATCAAAATCCTCCTTATGGCCTAAACTCCACTGTCTCTTATAACACAGATTAAATTATAATTTTATTATTTTTAAGAGCTGCTGACCGGTCTGTCTTTGATGATGACGGCCGGGTCTGCCAGTCGCTCTGACTCAGTAGCGGCCGGGTTTTCTGCATGAGAAGAAGCAGCTTTCTGCAAAACAAAAACAAAAAAATCTGATGAGGCCAAAAACATCTCAGAGAAACTGCAGTTTAATTTTTAATCGCTCAGAAATTTCTGTCGTTTCAAAGTTTGAATTTTAGCACCACAAACAAAAGATTTAAATCTTTCTTTCTAGCAGCTTGATGGTAAATTTAAAAGGAAAATATTCAACAATCATCGACGTCATGTCTTTTATTTTTATGTTGAACAGAAAAGAAGATCAAAAATGTTCCGAAACCTGCAAGTCTCCAACAAAATTAGGACTGAAACGATTAATCAAGATGAATCAATTATTGGAATAGTCATAGACTAATTCAGTAAATTGATTAATCAACTGGAGCATACAGACAAAAAAAGGAAATTTGAAGTAAGGACACCATTTTCACAGCAGTAATTGAACCAAAACTCTACAGAAAAAAAAAAAAGTTGTATTCAAGATAAAAAAAAATGCAAATAAATTTCATCCAGAAATTCTAAAAAATTTCTCAAAAATTTGAGCTTCATTTGGTTCAATTTGTGTAAAAATTATTTTTTTTCTGTTCAATAATGAATAGTTTAATCCAAAAAATATCCCTACACTGGATTGATGTTAATCAAACAAAAACAGGCTGAACTTTTCATATGTTGATGTTAAAAGTATTTTTTTTTTTTGCTACAGATTTTTCCTTTGCTACAAATGATCACTAAAATATTGCAACACTATTGTATATCAGGTAATAAAATATTTATTTTTTATATGTAAAAAAGGAATTTATTAGTTTATTTACAACCTTTTTAATGTTAGGTAAAAAAAAAAAAGGCTTAAATAAAAATCCGTAGAATGCGGATTTCTATCAGATTAAAACCCTTTAAATTTCAAATCTCCACCTGGATATTTTTGCTTATTTTAATTGTACAAAGTTCTTTAAATGTCATGTGAGTAAATATTTTTGCTGATTCTCCACAACAACTGGAGCTTTCAGTATCTAGCAGTTATTTACGATTTACCGTCTATTAAAAGAGGGTTTCATCAGATTAAAACGAAGGAAAACACGCTTCCTGGAGCAGCGGGAATGAGATTACCGTAATAACCCGATGTTGGCTGGAAAGTGCAACGGCTTCCCTTTCAGAAACCGCAAAGTATCGCAGAGTTACGGTAACGCAAAGTTGACTTGTAAAAATGTGTGGTGATTAGTTACAGCTCTGGAATTCATCTGGATTAATAATCAGAATGGAACTCCCTCTAATCTGGAAGCAAAGCGCTCTCTGCGGCGGTGCAGTGGTTTTGGTCTCACCTCAAGCTTGGGAACTGGCGGGATGACGGGCGGCTTTGGCTGGAGGTCGGTCAGGTACATGGCTCTGGAGAGCAGCAGCAGCGACGGAGGAACGTTCTCCTTCAGGTGGAGGTCGAGCCACTGAGCGACGGAAAACATTCGTCAGAAACACGGAACCGTTTCTCAGATTACGACGTGCGAGCGCTGCTACCTGCTGCAGCTGCTGGCGGAGCTGATCGCTGGTCAGACCCAGCGAACGCATCCCACGACTGCGACACGCCGCCTGCAGCTCCGACACGCTCATGACCGCCACGCCCTCCGCCGAGATCATCTGAGAACGAGAGGAAACCGAAATTACAAAAGATTTTCACACAATTTTAACTGATTTCCATTCTTGAATGGTTTTAAAAATGTTTAGAAACAGTTTGAATCCCTAAAGCTGCAAAATCCCTGTAGTTTTCGATTCTGTTTTTATTTTCATTCAACTTCACATAAAGAGTGTTGAACTGTCTAAAATATGCAAAACATTAAACATGGCAGAACAACGCCTTTCCCAGGCTTTAAACATTTTCACACAAACCAAATGCAGAAATAAAATTAAACAAATTTTCCATTTGAAAAATTATTAATAATCAGAATGGGAATTATTCTAATCATTTAAATTTATCATATAATTAATTGATTATTGTGACAGATGCTAATGTCTCGTGATCATATTCTGCATTGTACTTCAGGTACAAAGTCAACTAAAGTATAAAAGTTTAATGTTTTGAATGTCACACCTTTTACAAACTGACTGGTCTGAGAACAAAAAAACAATTTAACAAAAACAATAATAAATTGTTTAATATATGAAACATAAGACGATCTATAAGTCATGGAGACATCAGGAATCACAGATATTCAAAATTCAAATGAGCTTCCTGCTTAAATTAAACACGATACACAAAAAGTCACACAGAAAATCCCCAAAAAGATAAATTCTCACCATGTTTCCTGGCATTTGGCAAATATAAATAATTTTGTTAATTGTATCTGACCTGAAACAATAAAAGTTTAATCTGATTTAACTTCAGACAGACAGAAAAAAAACTGTCTTTATAAGATGTATGAAAATATCTGGTTTCAAATGAACGTTTTCCAAATTTCAGCTCTTAATCAAATGTTGGACTGCACTTTATTCCAAACCTGTGTACCTTGAATATCAGTACTTTCCAAACCTTGAAATCACTTAAATGAATTTCAAGGATTTTTACAGGATTTCCAGCCTGACCCTGTTGTCCTGCTCTGATAAATAATCCTGAGGTGTTTCGTCTCACCTCGTCGTCTGACTTGATGGCTCTCAGTTTCATCATCAGCTGGAAGCGCAGCAGGTTGTTGGTGCCGATGGGCTGCAGCTCCAGCAGTTTGCACAGAGCCACCAGCTGGGGGCGCTCCAGGTGCTCCAGGGTCAGCTCGTCTTCAAACAGCTTTGAGAAGCGGACGATCTCCTTGGTGGACGGCTGCTCGCCCGTTCCCCGAACCTAAGACAGGAAGTTTAATATTTAAGCTACAAACACACAAATACCTCTTTAGTTCATGAAGGGGAGTAAAAATATCAGGTTATATCGTTTAGATATAAACATGTCAAACTAAATAAGCTATGTAATTTATTTAGGGGTGCTCAAAGTGCGGCATGGGGGCCATTTGTAGCCCTTGGATTGATGATTTTGTGGCCCCACAACTGGAGTTCAAGAACACTACAAATTTGTTTTAATTAATTTTTCATTTTTAATTAGGGTAAAATTATTAGAGATGTAATTTTTTCCACAATGGAAAATGGTACTTTCAGCAAAATATTCACCTTTTTAAAGTCAAACTGTTATAAGTAGAGCTAAATTTAACCAGAAATCCAAATTTGATGGAACGAAATCAACTTTTATTTAATGTATAAAACTTTTTTTAAATGAAAGTCTTTTGAATTTGATTTATTTTAACATAGCAAATAAGCAAAATCCTTTTTAAGTTTTGGACTGAATAACATCCCTTTCCAATAACAATAAAAAAACAACAAGCCACTTTATTTGTTGAGTTTCATTTATTTATTTATTTTAAATTCTTGGCCGACATAAAAAGTTTTTGCAGCCTGATGTTACCTCAGCTGGATTGATCCTGCTGGTGGCATTAAATGTCAAGTGGAGTCATGTGGAATGAATATTGAATAAATACACAAACTGCTTGACATAAGCTCTGTATTATATGAGCTTTGGGCTTGCCATATTTCCACATGCCCCCCAGAACCCATAAACTTCTCCTGTTGGGATTAGAAACAAGCAGGTAGATCCTAAACATGGTGTAACTCTTCATCATCTTGCATTGCGTTGGTGTGGAGTGCTTTTAGAGCTTAGCAATAAAAAGACACGACATTCCTCTTGTTAACGAGGAAGGATGAAACTTTAGGAGGAATATATCAATTAGAATCCTAAGTCAACTATAGATCCAATTCTCATGATGTAATAGTTTATTCTGCTGTGATAAAAGTTTAAAAATGTGGCTGAAGTTGCTGTGTTTCACCTTTTGAACGTATCTGGAGAATCTCTGGGTCTCATCCTCGATCTGGGCTTTAGCTTTGTTCCTTCGGGCCATTTCAGCGATGGTTTCCTGGAGGAACTTGGCCAGCTCCAGCTTTGCAGCCAAACCCTTTTTCTGCTTCTCCTCCTGCAGAAACAAAAGCATTTACTACAATAAAAACAAAAAAAACAAACTCCAGAGAGTTATTTTTAATTAATTTAACAGTGTAGCTGATACTGTGTACGGGGCTACATACATGACAATGTTATTCTTTAAATAAACTATTTTTTGGGGGGGCGGGGGCGGGTTTGCAGTGTTAAAAAAACTGTTGCAACTTAAAAATGTTTCATTCAGTGAAACTAAATGCTTTCAGACACTACAGCCAGACATTTGGTTTTATAAACCAACATCCTGCAAAATGTTTGAACTTTTCACATCTTATTACATTAAAACAAAATGAAAAAGTTACTTTGTTGGGATTTTATGCTAAAGATCAACAAAGTTGATAAATGTTTTTTAATAAAAAGACAGGTGAGTATTCAATCCCTCTTTACTCTGATGACCTAAATAAAATTCAATGCAATTAATTAATAAAACATTAAAATAGGCTCAATAATTTACATTAAATATTCTATTTAATTTATGGTTTTGGTTGTGTGTGGTTTTTATTTCAGTTTTATTTTATTGTTTTTTGTTTATTTTGGATATTTAAAATGTTTTCTAGTTTTCTTTACAAGATTAAAGTTTCTTCTTAATGAAGGGGTGAACTTGCACTATTAGACTATTATTTATATTACTCTGTAACAAAAGAACAACATTATTGTTTAACTAATATGCCTATTTTCCAATTAAAACAAAAAATAAAACAGAAACATTAATAGTGCTGCTATTGCTTAATCTTTTTCTGCTGCAGGTAAAGAGGTTTAGTAAATATAAGCTGCATTAAATGTTTTTAAAAAGCTGGAAAATAAAATATACCAAGTATTTTTCTTTAAATGAAACTTGCATAAAAGCCTCTGCAGTCAGGATGAACATTTCACCAACACGTCTAAAATGTTTTCCGTCAAACTGAGACGACTGATAAGTTACATAATCACAACAAGCCGTGGAAAGGTCGTCGAGGTCAAAGGGCGTACAGAAACACGAACCTTTTTAGACTCTGTCTCAAACGTCGATGGCAGCATCTCTGGAAACAGCTTGAGGAAGACAGGAAGCAGGAACTCCATAAAAGGAACGATGATGAACAGCATGAAGGGAAGGAGGCGGAAGAGGTCGGCGCAGGTCCTCATCAGCTGCAAACACAAACAAGACGACGACGTCACTAAACAGCGACGCGTCTGACCCGCAGCTCTGCTGACGGGAGCTCGTGTCTGCATGTACGACACAACACAGGGCTTCCCTCTTACAAAATAAATAAAATTTTGTAAGAGATTTACCAGGGTTTATTCTCCTAAATTATATTGCAAATGATGGACGTTTGCAGATTTTAAATACACACAAAAAATAAATATATTCTTAAGATTTTCTTTTGAAAATATTTGTTTTTGGGGAGAAACTAGTGATTTTATTGAAGATGTTGGTTTGAGTAGATGAAGATGATCAGCTGATATCCAGAGATTGAAATCAGATCAGTGATCGATGATAAAGTGGATGTATCGACTCACCCTCCGCCTCTCCCTGCGCGTCAGCACCTGTCCGTGCAGCAGACTCCACACCGTCCGCCCAGCAATCTTTGTGTCAATTCCCAGTAACCTGAAGCCGTTGTAGTAATGCTTCAACTCGTCAACAATCCTCTGATACAGAGACTTTTTCACCATCGCCTTCTCCTGGGCTGGAGGAACAGCTGCTGCAGCTGCTGCAGCGGCCGTTGGAGCCGACGGCCGCTGAGAGTCCGTTACCACGGCAGCAGCAGCAGAGTCGTTTTTCTCCCCGTCCTGAGGAGCCGCTGGAGACGCTTTGGTGTCGTCCTGCTTCACATCCTGGAGCCAAACGGCAGAGCTGTGCAGTGCCCGGGCGAGCAGGACGGAGCCATCGCCGCGGGCGCAGTGATGGTGGCCGTAGCGGGAGTGTCTGGGAGGAAACGAAGACGAGGCGTGGCGGGGGGCGTCTGCGCGCAGGTACGCTCTGGAGGACAGAGAGGAGCAGCTGTGCCTCTTGGACAACAAATACGACCCTCTGACGAGGAAAGAACATGAGTCAATGATCAGTTATCTAAAGGTCAATCAATAAGCTTATTCAATTTAGCAAATTTCATCAATAAATTAAAGTATACCCGATACTTGTATTCAAGTAAGAGTAGAACTACTTCAGCACATTTTTACTAAAGTAGAAGTAAAAAGTAGCCGTCCAAGAATTTATGATAAAAAGTACTGAGTAACTGGTCAAATGATGAATCATTTAATATTTAAACATTACATCATCAGCAATTTTACTAAAGAGTAGAAATACTTCAGAATAAAATTACTCAAGTAAAAATAAAAACCACAGCACAGTAAAAATATTCCTAAAAGTAGTTTTGTTTCCCCAAAAAAAGTTACCCAAGTAAAAGTAATTGAGTAAATGTAACTAGTTGCTGCCCAATTCTGATAATGTACAAATATTATCTTATAACTTTTACTCTACATGAGTGAAAATGGAGCAGTAAGAAGAAAAATCTTGTAGAAACCTGCTTTCTTATAAAATATATTTTTCATACATGCATGCATAAAATAAATAATTCTCATTGTTTGTTCCAGTCTTTTGCAAATAAAGAGAGAAATAAAAACAATCATGTAAAAGGAAATTATCGATCGATTATTATAAATTATAATACAAAATTATCCTAACACTTTGCCTTATTACAGCTTGATGCAGTGAAACATAAAACTCATGTATTTATCTAAAAGTGTGTCTTAATTTTGTGTGAACTCAGAAACTTGGTCTGGGCCAATCATTAACTTTCTGTCTGAACGTCGAGTATCTCTGAGCCTCAATGTTCCTCGACTTTCTCTGCAGCATTAATGATTTGCCAAGAAGGAAAAACGAGCCGCTCGTCTTTGTGCAGAACAGAAAAACCATCTGGCAGTCAGGAATAAACAAACCCGGGCAGCAGAAGCAGCAGGACATGAAGCAGATTTAGACAAACATAAGAACTGAAAACTGAAGCCATTTTTCTAGATAAAGAAATCTTGTTTTTAGAGGAAACAGATAAGGTAGAGCAGGTTCCAGTGCCTATAAATAAATATTTATAATTTTAAGAAGTTTTGGTGAATCATCTCTCCACATGTTGAGCCACTCCTCTTCACCTCTTTCTAGGAAACACTTATTCTGTCTCGGAAGTGATTTATGGTTTCAACAGTGAAAAAATGCCTTTGTTCAACTCAACTATGCCTCTTCGTTTAATTATAATTCCAACCTGTACAGTCAGATACTTTCATAAGAGACACATTCATGCTTCCTGAGAAAATATATCTGATCAAACAACAATGATGACTTGGTAAGTTAAAATTTTAAGACTTTAGATTTTATCAATACTAATGGATATACTTTTTAAGACCATATTTGACATTAAAATAATTAACCTCAAGCCTTAAGAACTGGATAAAGATGAACCAAAACTGTACTCTCTTTTTAAATATTACAAATGTTTTGACTTAATAGTTTTAACTATATTGTTTCATATATTTCTTTTTTTTATCTTATTATATTTACTGTTGATCTTTTCCTTCAAACCAACTGTTAAAGGTTCTTCTAGGGGCAGGTGTCGCAAATTATCTAGCTGAAGCTAAAAACATTGTGATGCAGCAATAGGTTGTCCTGATCTGCTTCTTCTGTCTGCCCTTATCAAATAAAAATAATAAAAATAGAGTTATATGGTTTCAATGAGGTTCCTAATCTGTAGTATTTTAGAAAATTTAAAGATGAAAATATGGCGTCATAAACATTTCAGTAAATTACAATTTAATTTATTTATAAGAAATTGGCAAAAGGGGAGAACTGATGGAGTCAAGAACACAAAAGCAAACTGTCATTTTAAATTGCTGATAAATCAATCTTAATTAGTTTTTCAAAACTGAATTTTTGTAAAATCTGATTTTTTTTCCAACATTGCACCATATTGGTTTTACAGATAAATAAATACTTAATTCTTTAACACACCAGCATCAAATAATTATCAGAAAGAGGACTTTGAAATGATCATGCAAATTACTGAGTCCATTACAAAGAAATAACTTTTTTCCCATAATTTTAAAGATACTCTTTTGGTAAAATTGCATCTTTATTCTGCTAATATTCTGACTATATACTCATAATTAAAAATTATTGTAGCCTCGACCTGATAGTACAACTCACAGGATGGAAATAAAAGGAACTCTTTAAAAATATTTTCTGCCACTTGTAATTTCTTTTTTAAAACAGGAAGCAAGAAAAAAAAAGTCTTACTTTAAATTTTGTCAACTTTTAGCGACCTTTCTCTGTACACTAATCTCATATCTGAAAAGGACCAGATCATCATATTCTGCAATCTTACACAATGAGAATCTCTTCTGCATGAAAGTGAATGCTTTTCTTCAAAACCCACACTTCGCTCCGCTGACTCCGTACAGACTACTCCCAGTTGTTTGTCACCGTTTACCCTGGTGATAGCCCCTAATCTCTCCAATGCCTCGGTCACAGTTTACAAAGCACAGGGAAGTCTTAGTAGTCCGTTTACCTTGATCTGGTGACTGCCAGGAGCACCTGGTGACTAAAGACTGCCATTGCAGAGTCAGATCACGCTGTTCTGTCCAGGTTCACATGGAGACAGAGAGCATGCAGGGGTCAGGTTACAGTTCATGCATCATCTGAGAATTAAGCTCCACAAGAAAACAGTAGTAATCTCCAATCAATCACTTTGTCAGTTTGGTAATACAACTAATTGCAAAAATAAGTTTGGCAAGCATGACTAAAAGCAAGACGATTATAAGTTTACATATCATTACATAACAGATGTCTACCTCGTTATTAAATACCCATCTGACACATGCATCTTATTGTATTTATTCAATGTAAGAAAAGTAAATACAAATAATGAAAGTGCGTATTTCCAGAGCTTTGTTTATTTCATAAACAGTAAAACTTTCGACATGACGCTCCGCGGAAAGTCTGCAACATTTTGGGAATTTTCCACTGACGTTCCTACATACTTTTCAGGTTTTAGAAACTAAAACCTGTCAGCAAACAAAGAAGGATAATACAGAATCACGCCATTCGCTAAACTAACCGGTGCTGTGCCGTAAAAAACACACCGGTTCATCATGGGAAGCGCTTTAAAACCATTTGTTGTCGCGAATTAGTAAAATAACCATCAAAAATAGCGTAGATTACAATTTAAATAGGAGGAAAGTTATATAAAACCATTTTTAATATGCTAACTTATACATACATATGCCGTTTATCATGGCTGCCAGGGGTGTTGTGCCGAAAAGTGCACCCCAGATTGATGTGCAGCTCCTTAGCTTAGCATTAGCAGACCGTTGCTACAGCTATTTGTCAGCTGAAATGGAGTCCACTAACCTCCAGCGTCAGCGATCAAGCTATGGCTACCGCTGCTGACGGGGCGTCGTAAGGCTTCTCGGTGAGACGTGGACGATATTATCCATCCAAAACAGACTGGAGATGTGAACGGAATTCGCGAAAGAAACGTCTGGTATAGTGATAAACCCATTTACTTTGGGTTTATGCTTTAAATCGTCTGCGTGAGCGTCGAGTTTCTGCTTCAAAGCATTGTGAGCAGCAGCCTCCCCAGGCGGCTGCACATAAAAATCACGTTGAGCATGCGCAAATGTTTGTGGTGCTGAGCTAACGAAGAACGTCTATTTAAAAAAGAGTACTTACTCACTGAGGCTTTTTTTTTAACTAAAACGTGCAAACTGTATCCACATAAACTGAAGGGTGTCTGATATTTAATCACTAATTCAAATGCGATATGTGAAGATAGCAATTCTGAGCATCTGTCCTTAATAGATAGTACTGAAGACACTGAGATTTCCAAAAATCTGAATGTTGACTGAACCCTAATTAGGATTAACGTAGATGTTTCACTCTTGGGGATCTTAATGTAAAGAGAATATTAAAATCCCATTTTTTTACGGGGTTGTCAAAGATAAAGCATCGTTTGTCTAAAAGAAATATTGAACCAATATTGATTTATGTAATGTATTTCTTTCTGGAATTAGCCAAAAATGTTTGCCACTTGACATTTCACTGGAAATTTCATGTGTTTCGTTTTATTATTCAGCACTTTGATCAGCATTGTTGTTTTAAAAGCACTTTATAAACAAAGTGTTATGGCATGAACCATTACATCTAGCCCCCACAAGACCGGTAAAGAAAACTGAAGATAATTAATGAGGAGTTCGGTCCAAAAGGCCGCTGCAGAGTGAAACGTCTGGCATTTCACGACCTTTGAGCTACAGATCAGCAGGAGGTTGACAGAGCCAATCAGAGGCGCTGTTGCAAACGTAAGAGGTATATTTACGAGGTTACGTGCTACTATAATTTATCTGCATTTAAAACTGTTTATGCAGATTTTTATTGCTGCCTTCTGCTTTTAGTGTGCTCGGAGTTTTTCTGTTCGTGAAGCGTTGATCAAATCAAGTAAAACACACATCCCATCATCCTTCCGCCCGAATGTGTGAAATCTTTAAAATTTTTATGGCAAGCAAATGTGTCATTTAATCATCAGTAGACTCTCCAAACCTGTTATGTTGTCATCATACTAATTTGGTTTTAAATATATCACAAATTAAAACGGTTTCTGATATTTCTGTAGAAGACAAAGCAACTGCAAAAGCAGTTTTATATCAATTAAATATTTCTCTATAAATATATCTCTATAAACATAATTATGAGAAATTATGTTTCTCATAATTATGCTATGAGAAACATAACATAATTTCACATATTTATAATTGGGGTGAGTAGCACTGAATTAATTTTAAACATCTCCGTGATGACAAGTAAGAACTTGATAGGGTACCACACAATGTAGAGGAATTAGAAGAAATAAACAATTAAATAAAAATAATTTAATTCATGACGATGTGAAGCTCATTAAACAAATATTTATCATTAGATTACCATACC